CGAGTATGAAATTGTTGACTCTTAATTAAATATCAATATTTTTCTTGACTTCGAAACTTGAACTACCATTCATCCGTTCAACAATTAAATCTCAATATTTTGCTTGATTTACGAAACTTCAACTATTGTTCAATCTGTTCAACAATTCAACATACATAACCCATTCCTTCCTTCTATTCCTTGGACAACAAACAAAATAATGCATAACACTATAACGAGTTAGAAGAAGACATATCTTGATAATGTCCCAATTTCAAAGTGACAATTTAAATTAATGAAAATGGGCAAGTCTTTCATGACAAGTTACGACCAAAAGTTCTTTGTCATAATTTCCTAGTGATTTCTATATATTCATTTCTAAAACTAGCATATATATATATATATACACACACACACACGCACAAGAGAGAAGATGGTAAAAGTACCCTCATTTGATCTGCTAGCTCTCTTCGACTCGATTTCCTAGCCTTTCTTAATTTCTACTCAATCATACTTGCAGAAACTAATGAGTGCCTAGAATCCAAATTTGATCACTTTCGTCATTATTATGATGTTCAACCTTGCACATCTAGCTTTCACGGAAGACATTTGAGAGATTTGTTGATGAAGATCATGAGAAGTTCCCGAGTTTCAAGGGCAACTCATCAATTTATCTTGAAGCTCTTTAACTAACTCCTAACACCCCAAACGATGCTCATACTTGGAAACAAAAAAATGCATCCGGTCGCGTCATGTATCATATTAATCTTCATATTTATTTTGGTTTTCGATAGAAATCGAATTTTTTTTTTCAAAAAATGAATCGAATATAAATAATTTTGGTTTTTTTATTTGGTTTAAAATTTTGTAAATTTTATTTTAAAACTGAACCAAATTACATAATTTGGTTCGATTTTATTCGGTTTTTGATTAATCGAACCGTTTGCTCATCCCTACTTATAGTTGAACTAATGAGACAAAATGGGAAGAAAAAAATTAGAAATATGGATTTTTGAAGGGAGAAAAACGGGGAGAGAGAGAGAGAGAGAGAGAGAGAGAGAGGAAAGAAAAGAGGGAGAAACCCTAAATTGAAAGAGGAAAAACTATACCCATCCAAATCCATGTCTTTCAATTAGTTTGACCCACTTAAAAACACCTTAAACTAGCCTCTAAACTATCTAAGAAGGTCAAGCGAGGAGAAAGGAAGAATTTCTCCAATTTGGCCAAAATTTGACAAGAAGGACAAGGAATAAGCAAAGGAGGAAAGGAAGGAAAAAGACTAAAATTCTAAGTGAGGTAATTATAATTCCACACCTACACCATAGGAATTTATGTTTGAAGGATAATTAGTGATAATTTAGGGTTTGTTGATGAAGGGTTAGTAAATTTGTATTGATGATTATGTGAAAATGGTTGAATTGCAATAGTCTTATGATATGTATGTGTTTATGATGTATGGAAAAGATGTTGAATGTTAAAATGAATTGAATGATCATGTTTGAATGATTTCCTTGTTCTAAGAACAAGGTGGCTATGAGAACTACAAAGCATGAATTGGTTGTGTTTGTATTGTTTGATAAAATGTCTTATAGACATTTATTTTGTCAATTAAATGAAATGATGGTTATCCCTAGCTTCTTGTGGCCTACTTTGGTCAAGCATGGAAACAAAGGATAAGAGAACTAAATGTAAGGTGAAGGTTTAATGTGAAGTTTTTTGCTACAAATGCTATGGATAAAAGGTATATGCATACAAAAAATGATTAATTATAATGCTTATTGTGATTGGCCATGTTTGTATGAAAAATATTTGATTATGATGTATTCTATGACATTTGATTGTTCATGGCATATATTCCTATTGCATGTATACTTATGTGTTTGGAACATGTATTGGATGCATTATGTGTGCACATGTTCTTGCGGAATTTCAAAAGGTATGCATGATGAGGTAAAGTTTATGGCATTGCATTTCATTTTAAAATGCATATGCACATCATTATCATGAAAGGGGAATTTTATTCATGATCTTAATGAAAGAAAAAAGAAAATGGTTTATATGAAAGAAAAAAAGGAAAAGGTTTTCATGAAAGGAAAAAGAAAAAAGGTTTTCATGACTTTTCATGAAAATGCCATTTCTTTGTCGAGGATTTGGTAAAGGCTTCGACAGTTGAGGGATTTGATGAAGGCCTAAACTAAAGAAATTAGCCAACGTTTTCATCGAGGGATTCGGTAAATGTCTCAACTATTCAAAGATTTGATGAAGGCTCAAGCTGAAGAATGTGGTAAAGCCATTTCTTCATTGAGGGATTCGGTAAGAGCCTCAACGAGTTAGGGGATTTAGTGAAGGCCCTAACCGAAGAAATGATAAAGGAAAGGATGCACCCGAAAAGGAAAAGGAAAAAGAAAAAGAAAAAAGGAAAATGTTTCAATGGCATAAAACTGATTTTTATAAAAAGATGCATCATGTGCATTCACGCATAAAAGACATCACATGCGTTGCATGAATTATTCTTACTAAGCATCCTTTTTCTTATTGTTGTTTTCTTATGATGTAGGAAATGATAAAAACAAATGAAAGGTCACTGTCGAGACAAGTGATAGACTTGCCATTTTGTGTGCTTTGGATTGGGTCAGTGAGTATAGGGAACCTTGCATAGCTTAGCTTGATTGTTTTGATGCATAACAAGTTAGACAATTTTTGGTGTGTATATATGTTCATTAAAAAATGTTGTTTGGTGTAAATGAAAATATTAATTGAAGGTTAAGTCATTAGTATGATTGACTAATATGGCTAGGATGAGGAAATTTGTAAGGTCAAGGAAATGATTGCAATTTAAAAGGATAAGTAAGGAATTAGGTAAGAATGTTAAAGGCACGATTAAAAGAAAAAGAAATGGCTAAATTGTTAGAGGAGGTTTATATGAAATTAGTATGGTTTAACTTAATCCAAAGGAAACGAAAAATTTTAGACTCAAATTATGCATAAGTGGACCTAGTATCCCATAATCATTAGGGACTTTATGAATTATTAAATACCCATTTTCGTTAATGTATTAGATATGATAAGAGAGGAGGCGTCTTGGCTTGCATTCATTACACATCGAATATAAATCAATGCTAATAATACCCTCGACCTATCTAGGTCCTAGGACGGAGGCATTACAACTATTTTTTTTTTTTTTGTTCCTCTTTTTTAGGGCCCTAGGCGTAGGCCCTAATAGCCTATGTCTTGAGACGACCCTATTCTAACTTGACCATCATGAAAATGTTGTTGGAAGATTATTAATGTAACAAATTTTGGCATTAGATAGAGAGAGGCTAGCCAATAAAAATAGTGATATTTGTGGTTTCGGAGATGAGAAGAGAAAAGGGAGATTAGGAAATTTGAAATTCGAAAAACGAAGGGTTAGGGTTTTTTTTAATTGGGTATGAGTTTTTTTTTTAATAAAAAAAAGATTAAAAAGGGAGTGATTGATATGTATTTTATTACTAGTCGAGTTAATAATCCATGTGGATCTCATGTGGCAAAATTATCCATTCTATCATGTCTCATCACACACCACGTCAATTTGAAATGGAATTTAAGTAAAAAAAAATTATCTATATTAATATTATTATCGAAAACTTAGTTCATAATTTTTCTATCTAAAATTGAAAAAACAAGCTAATATGATTAAAAGAAAATAAACGTCATGATTTTCAATGCATTAAGTCATTTGAATTTTATTATGATTTTTAAAAAGATAGTATATTTAAGCTGGACTAAAACCTATGGTGAATAAATCATATAACGAAACAAGATGGCTATTGTCGTTATTACGCTTTAATTAGAACAAGACGAGAAGATAAAACACACTTTGATCGTTACATACAACATTAATCCAATAAACAATATAGTTGGCGATTAGCTTAATACGGATTAGGTCGGATTCCATGTCCTATGTCGCTTCAAAACCAGATGTAATCAAATCCTGAAGTAGATCGCAAGAACAACGCAACAACTTTGGAAACCAGATTCCACTCTTCGCCACTTGAAAATTGAATAAACACCCATTACTCCAGTAGGCTGCAAACCGTGGGTGCTACAGTAAGATAAATATGAATTTATAAATAAATTAATATATTAATAATAAACACCCATTACTCCAGTAGGCTGGCAAACTGTGGGTGCTACAGTAAGATAAATATGAATTTATAAATAAATTAATATATTAATACCATACTTATAGATGATGGGAACAGAGTACAAAAATCATTGATTTTGAAAAGTCAAACTCGGTCGACTAAAATTGAAAATACACTTGTTAAATTGATCAAATTGAAAACACATGAGCTTATTTGAGCAAATTTATAAAAACACAGGATACAATTATTAAGTTTTTCAAAAGAATTTCTTCTAGAATCAAGTAAATTGCAGTTCTAAACCTAATTTAGAATTAGAAATGCATTTATATTTGGCCTAAGAGAAATTTAATTTCGAATAAGGCTTAGAATTGTATTTCACTTAAACCCTAATATCCCGACTTCAAAGACTTCAAATTCTGTAAAGTTGGTTTGGTGTTTGTTATCTTTCTTAATTTTTTAAATTGAAACTTTGAAATCAACATCCAAATTTTTTATTAAAATCATCTGAATATATTAAATCGACGTGATGGTACAATTTTAAGATCACGTAGATATAAATTTAATCTTAATTAAAATATATCAAACCGACGTGATGATACAATTTTAAGATCATGTAGATATAAATTTAATCTTAATTAAAGTACAAACAAATTTAAAAATATCATTATTGTCGAATGAAAAAACAGAAGAAGAAGAGAAGAAAATCTTGCTTCTCATGACATTTACGAAGTCTTAACGGCAAAATTACATTACTATGTTAGCTGAATTGAGGAGATTTAACAGATATCACAGAGACGACGTCAAGGAACCATTTGAATAAAAGAGTTGACAATACTATTTTGACTTGATTTGTCAGAAGAACTGAGAAATGTCAATGGATGCATTATCAGAAACTCAGAATAGTCCGCTCAGGCTCATCACACCAGCCTACCCGCCCCGTTTTCCCAAATCCTGATAGGACCATTGTTGAACCAGCATGAGAAGATCTCTATCCAATGAAGTAGCACGCCAAGCACCAAAATTCAGAGGTCAAGCTTTACTGCTGTAGTATAAAGTATTTCTAATACAGTTTTTTGCTCTTCAATTCAAAGGATCTGCTTTGAACTAGCTTTTTTTATAAACCAAGTCCACTTACGAAGAGAGATGCCTCAAAAATAAAATTCCACCATTGGGAGAAGGGACCACAATAGTTCATTACTTAAGAACAAAGAAAACAGATATCCAAGTTTAGCAATGTACTCAAGAAAAGAAGGATTCCCATTCGAATAATTAACTCCGGTATGCATTCTTAGAATTGAAATATTTGATTTAATAGTCACAAGAATAAGCATAATGCAGCAAGGAGAATCATTCCTGTAGCATCAATCCATTAAAGCATAAAAAAAGATAATAATAAAAGAAATGTAATGCAGCATGTGTTTTCACTACCCAGCCACAGCATCATATTGTACCCACTTCCCAACAATTGTTTTTCCTACTGGCCACAACATTAGATCATGACCCAAAATCCAGGCAAACAACAAGTGGCAACAATAATAAGATTAAGATTTTGTTCAAACTTTGGATAGGACATCAATTCTGGGTGTTGAGTAACTAAATGATCAAATCCTGGCACATCTTTATAAGATATATTAAATCCAAGCCTATCAACCTTTAACACTAATGCATGCTGAGTATACCTCAGAAATAACCTACAACAAGAACACCACATGCTATGTACCCCTCATGTAGTATCTGACAGTTACATGCACCTTAGGGGAGAGCACAAGAGAAACGAAATATTATGAGAAATAGCCTAACCAATTCCATTCCAACAATAGCCAATTCAAAGTAAAAATAAAACAAGGGAACATATATAACAGCAAAACTGCACAGCTGACTGAAAAAGTTTAGCAAAAACCGATGGCAAACCAAGAGAAACCACAGCAGTTGGCGAAGGCAAAAACAAGAAAACATAAAACTAGAGGAAAAAGAAAACTGATAAGACAGTGACAAAAAGACACAGGTAACACGCAAATAAATTTGTAGCAAGTAACAGGAGATTCTCATAGAAGAGATCAAGAGTAATCACAACACAGACAACACAAAAGCAAGTTCATTCTCAGTATATTGGCAATTAGCTGTTACAGTAATCAAAATCCAGCACCAAACAGCAGATTCAAAACCCAGCAAAAAAAAAAAAAAAAGGGCAATTACCATGATGGACAAATCAGAAGAAATGAGATAAAATCAAAATAGGTGTGTTCAAAATCAAATCTAATTTCACTACACAACCCTCAAAATACTAGAGAGACAAAAGTTATGCAAGGCTGCTGCTTTCTGTAATATAAGAGAAGCTAATCTGATATCATAAAATCCGTCGGTGAAGGATAGACAAAAGAAGCAAACAGGTAAGCATTTCATGAAAGCGTGCAGCTTACCTTGATGATATCCTTTTCCTTTGAACTCCAAACTTTATGCTGTTCTATATTTCAGTTCACTTAGATCCAAACACTAAAAACAGAGAAATATCTCAGGGGTAAGTGCATAACCACTTAAAGCAACAAACAAGTTTCTTTGAAGTCTGATTGTACTGTTTTGCCATTACATTGAGGTAATTATTGGAATAAATCTGATGGAATGACTCAAAATTTATGAAGTGGGGTTAGTAGTTTTTAATATCACTCTAATTTGATTGAGTTAAGATATTCATGAGCAATAATTTCATATATATACAGGGAAATAAAAATATAGCTTATCCGCATCAATTTGCAAATTCGTACTATATGCTTTTCAATCAGCCACTACGTTCTTTGAAATTCATTGATCAGTACATACATCCAGATGAAAAACATTTTATTTCTTCCTAATGATTTCAAAGTCTGGCAACAAAATTCAGCAAGTATCAGCCTTTCATGTGGGTAACGATTCAAAGGAAAGTAATTGAGCCCTGACCTCTTGAAATCAGAAATCTTGATCAATTCAATTCTGACGGATCAAAGTAGTCGCATTTGAATTATATTATTAGAAGCTAAATAAAAAATCCCAACAACCAAAATTCATATTCAAAACAAAACATATGGCACGAAGAGAATTATGGACAAAAATAAGCATACTGCAATTCATATTAAAAACTTTGAATAGAAAAAACCATTCGTTCATTTATTACCCAGAATGTAATATCGACAAAAAAAGGACACAAAATTTAACAAAAACTTACAAATAAAAAAAGACAGAAAAATCTACCAAACCCTGAATTCATTTGTCCAACCGAAGTCCCATAATTGACTACACTTTACCCCATGATCCAATTCAACTTGTCTCCTGCAAATTGGACAAGCAGAAACCTTAACAAGCCAAGCATCCACACATTTTCTATGAAACACATGACCACAACCAACAAGATTTCTACACCACTGTCCTTGCTTTATCTCTTCAAGACAAACCACACATGAAGTTTGATCAGCACCCATTTCAGGTCTTGTCTTAGTCGAAAATCTGAATCTTGAGAGCTTCTTTAAATCTTTGAGAGACAACCCATGTAAGGAAATGGAGGATGGAGTCGAGTGGCGGTGGAGTGCGGCGGTGGCAATGAGGAGGAGGATGGCGGCTACACCAAGGAACAGGAAAAAAAGGGTTGTTATAGCAGTCATTATTATGGCTTTGAGGATAAAGGAAAGAAGTTTTTGATTTCGTTTTGGTGGTGATGCACCACCTTGTGTACGGTGGTGATCCTGGTGCTGGTGGGGAGGAGGCATGGTTTCAGATGGAAGGGAATGAAGGAATGAGATTATGCTAAGGAACTGGTCAAATTGAGAAAGCTTTGATTTACCAAAAAAGTTAGGTCCCAATCGATAAGTACGAAAGAAAAAGAAAGGGAATTACGTTTTTATAACTCCACTTCCTTTATTTTTTTTTATTTTCATTTTTTTTTAATAGGTAGAAAACGGCGGCTTGCCTACTGATTTTATAGAATTGCGAGGCAATGATGTCACTATGTTTGCCACGTTGGCAGTCAGACTACGTGTCGGATAATGTCGCCTTTGCCACGCATATTCCATGTTTAGTTTTTTCTTCCTTTTTTTGAGATGACACGAAGAATGATGGGAGTAAATGACAAGAAACGGCCAGTCATTAAAAACAGGTAAATGATATTTCTCTCATCCTTTCTCGTGGTACAACTTTAACCATACCTTCTAGTTAATTTTCTTTTCCTATGTTGAATAAAGGTTATCCTTTGAGGGATTTTAAGTGAATTGATATATTTACAAAAATTTCTTTCCAAGTGTGATATTTAATTCTTTAATTTTACTAGTATTTAATCATAGATTTTGCGATTAATTTTTTTAATTGATTTTTTGAGTTCGAACTTTACAATCATCTTCTAAACAAATTTATTTCTTTCAATCTTTTAGATCAACATAAAAGATGTGTTTTTAAAATTATTAAGAAATATGATTTTATTTTGGTTTTAAATATTTTACATAATAATTATGGATAAAAAAATCATTTTGTGTTTTTATACTTTTATATTTTAGTCATATAGACTCTTGTGATCATCTTTTATCGTATTAATTTTTATATTTAAATTTTTAGAATTTTTTAACTCTTTTGTTCATTTTTGTTATGAAAGTTTGTTAGTTTGACCTAACAACAACATCAATTAACCAATCCTTATAAATCAATTGCAATAAAGTTTTAAGCATGCTCAACCTATTATCAATTTAATAAAAAAAAAACTATAATTCTTAATAATCATTGATATCAACAAATTATATGTGATCAAATTTATATTTTGAAAATGACCTAAAAATCCCCGATTGCATGTATTAGTTGATTAATTACATTTTGTTTAATGAAAATTACTACTATTCTATATAACTAAAAGAAATGAAGGTTTCACTATTTACTTACCGTAGCACTAGACTCGATGTAATCGTGGATGACATTTTTGTGATTTTTTGAATTTTGATGGATCAAAATTATGCTACTTTTTATGTTTTGGTCCTTGAAATTTTCAAACGAATATTTCGATCTACATTTTTATTTGCTAATCCGTTTTGGTCCCTAGGTGTAAAGAGAAGGGAGGGAGGAAGAGAGAGAGGGATGGGAGAGAGATCATTGGCTAAGCTTATTTAGGCCGTTTTGGCCGCGAAAGTCCATTAGATTTTTTTATCTTTGAGATATGAGTTTGTCTATGATGGTTTCAAGTCATTAAACAATTAGAGGAGGTAGATCGGAGCCAAAAAAGAAAAAAAAATTCCGATTTGATTGTGTTTTTTTTTGTTACACATTAAAATGATTTTTAAGGTTTTATATGTGTTTATTGACTTTATTCCGATCATTTAGAGGTGTTTTGAAAAAAAATACCAAAATTTAATTTTTAGGAATCGAAACTTGACCTTCGATTTTTTGACGAATCTTCCGACGACTTCGAGTTCGTCGAAAGTTGCGGATGATTTTTTGTTTTTTTTTTTGCGTTCGGCAGCAGCCTAGCCCTAGTGCGCGGGCTCGGTCGCACAAGCCACTAGGCGTGGCCTTTTTCCTTTTTTTTTTCCCTCTCTTTCTACGCGCGTGCGCACGCACACACACACACACACACATCCGAGCCCCGACATCTTTTACCTTTTATATGTGTATATATATATGTGTACCTATCCTAGCGAGACACATTTGTTTCTTCTTTCTTTTCTTTCTTTTTTTTTTTTAAAAAAAAACACCATCCTCGCGGCGCGTTTTGTTTCCTTTTTTTTTCCCCTTCTTTTGCGTGTGTATATATATATATCATGGAATTAGTCGTAAAAAATATAAAAAATAAATTATTATTTTTTTACTTTTATGTACGAGTTTAAAGATGATAAAATATATATATCCGATTATATTACTCTTATTGTTTAAATTTTATTTTTTCAATTATTTGTTTCTTATTAAAATTCTTATCAAATTAATTTTTTGATGTAATTTTATTTGTTAATAAAATAAATGAATTTTGAAATAAAATTTTAGAACATCAATGTTTTATTATTTTAAAATATATTATTATAATTTATATAATAAATTATTTTATATATATATATATATATATATATATATATATATATATAGAGAGAGAGAGAGAGAGAGAGAGAGAGAGAGAGAGAGAGAGAGAGAAGTATGTTTTAGATAGCTTAACTTAGTTTTTTTTTTTTTTTTTAAGTAATAACCAATTGAAAGAATTCACAAGTTTTATTTATTTTTTTATATATATTTATTCAGAATTTATCGAAATAAATTTTATTGTAAATTTTTTAATTTGTTGACTTAAATATATTTCATATAATTTAGACTTTTTTATATTTTTTTATATTTATTCTATATATTCTTAATTTGTTAAGTATGATATATATATATATATATATATATATATATATATGTGTGTGTGTGTGTGTGTGTGTCGCGTGCGTGTGCGTGTGTGTATTATTAATTTTGTTAGAAATTAACTATATATCTACAAACATACTATCAATTATTTGTTATTTATTTTTATATTTTTAATTTTTTAAAATAAAATAAGTTCGATAATATTTCAAAAGAGCCTCCCAATTATTTAACTACAAATTTTTATATTAATATTATTAAATATTTTGTTTATAAATATATATAAATCAAACGACTTCACTCGATTGTATAAATTCGATTTACATTAATTATCAAAAATAAAACTTCTACTCATATTATATCATACGAATCGTTAATTCTACATATACAATGATTGTTTTATCACAGAGATAACGTGAGTATCTAATTAGTTATATATCTAAAATATATGAAGTTATATATGTTCATAACGCTATTATTATTTTTTTTTTAATTTATGTACAGCGGTTAGTTTAATTGCTTTCCAAACAAGTGAACCCGGATTCCATTCCCGACTGGCACATATTTGCCTTTTTTTTTCTTTTCCTTTTTGTTAAATTTACCACCATACATCTAGCTGTGGTTCGGCCCTTGCAAAAGTTTTATTGACCAATCAAAGACTACCTATCGCTTCGCGCAGCCAGTTGTATTTCATATGGTGTTGATGGCGGCCATCTTGAGTCTAATACTCTATGGATTTCATCTTGGACAATGTAGGGAACGACAAAATCAACAAACATTCCTAGCCTCCCCATTCTCATTTTTACTTTCTTTTTTCCTTTTTGCATAATTTTGGAATATATAAATATTGAATGCATTAGACAAGCCCTAAAAAAAAAAAACGTGCACATCCATCCGGTACAATAATTTGGGTATATATATATAAAATTCAAAAACATATCGTATAAATATAAAAAATATCATATATGTTATATAATCGTTAGTTTATATGAAAAAAGGTAACGATTGAGTTTTTAAAATTTTAACACCTAATTAAAAAAAATATAAATTAATGAAAAAAAAATGCACGAGTAATGTATCGGTTAGGAGATTCAAATTTTTATTTTAAAATTTTAGATACCAAAATGAAACAACTTGAAAATTTTTTTTTAAAAAAAGAACCTAACTTGATGAAAAACAAAGGAAGAGAAAAAGAAAAGACATGTATTAACAACAACTAGAAAAAAAAAGCGAACAAGTACTTGAAAAAAAAAAGATGAACAATGGATGAAAAAAATTAAATAAAAAAAGAGCCTAACTTGATGAAAAAAAAAAACAAAGGGAAAAAAAAGAAAACAACGACTTGAAACCAAAAAGAAAAAAGTAAACGAGTACTTGGGAAAAAAAAGAGGTGGACAGATCACAACCCCATGTTTTTTATTTTTTTCTTTGCTTTTTTCCCATCAATTTAGGGTTTTTTTTTTAAATTATTATATTTTTTAAAATTTCAGGTTGTTTTATTTTGATCTCTGAAATTTTAAAATAAAAAATTTAATTCTCTAACCGATGCACGACTCATCTCTTTTTTTTTCCTTTGTTTTTTTCTTTTGCTTTTTTCCATCAATTTATATTCTTTTTTTTATTTAATTAAGTGTTAAAATTTTGAAAAATTAATCTTTTCTTTTTTCATACAAACTAATATTTATATAACACTACTCATGCCTTTTTTTTTCCTTTGCTTTTTTTTCATCAATTTATGTTTTTTTTTTGCTTGATTAGGTGTTAAAATTTTAAAAAAATCAATCGTCACTTTTTTTTACACAAACTAACGATTATATAATATATATGATATTTTTTATATTTATACGATATGTTTTTAGATTTTAGAATAAATATAAAGTACTCTTATTTTTTAAAATTGATTTTTTTCTATAAAAATTCTCATGAAGTTAATTTTTATTCTTATTTTTTTATAATTTTATTTATTGATAAATATGACTTATTTTATTTATGTACGGGTTCGAATAAGTATTTTTAATACTTTTTTTTATTTTCTTAATTCTTATATAATCAAAATTTAAAAATTGAATATATGTATTTTATTTTCTTATTTTTCATATAATCAAATTTTATCGAAATCGGCTTTATAGTTTTTACATCACTCTATTAGCTTCATTATATATTTTATGATTTAAGTTTTTAAAATATTTTTTAATTTATTTTATACATTCTCACCTATTGAGTACAATCATGATGTATAAAAAATAATAGCGTTAGAATCATTGATTATATTAGAAATTAACTATGCATTTATACACATAATACCAACTATTCCCTATTACTTTTTTAATATTTAAAATGATTTTTAAATAAAATAATTGAAATAAAATTTTAGAGTAATTTTCTAATAATTCAAATATAA